AAAAAAAAAAAAAAAAAAAAACAAGAGAGAGAGAGAGAGAACGGTTCAGCCCAACTGGTGACTGCCAAACTGGAAGTTTGGGAGAGGGGTAGGAACCAACCACCTCTATACACACATTCATGATACCTCAACTTAAGGTTGGTTAACCTCGTAACATAGCCATTGACATCCGAGACCGAGCACTCACCTACATCCCATGGGAATTTTTTCCCCCCGATGCGTGAGCTACGATGCCGATAGAAAAAAGGAGATCCTTCACGACATCAGCTCTGCATATGCATCAATAATTTGGGAGCCATAGTGCGGTGACAGCTTCCGCCCAATTAGCCATCCATCATTCCATCCATCCTTTCAGATGCAAACTGCCCCCAATGTCAGAACCACAACCCTGCTATGAGGCCTGCTAGGGCACTGGTGTGGGAACCCTCATTTTTCGACTCCAATTTCGATAACGAAGTTCTTCGATTCACTTCAAAGTAGAAGCCTCGGAAATCTAGGCAAACACCTGCTCAGCCTCGTTCCCCGAGCGGATAAAGAATGAACCAAATTCTCTCACCTCTCTCAAATACGCAGCATGGATGGTTTCGAGGTTGAGGTCCGTTCAGCTCCTTTTCGCTTCGCCGACAACCCTCTGTCGATTTAAACTCCGTCCGTAACCTCTGCCGGTAGCCCCCAAGTCGATTTAAATTATACTGCCATCTGCCAATGAACGCTTAAACCCTCAACCCTAAAAGAAAAGAACGGATGAGCAAATCACGTTAGCCAGACAAACGTCAAAACGTGCCCCGCTAATGATGAGGTGCTACACCCCTCCCAATCCACGTGTAATCTTCAGCATCTCTCGGTTCCTATAGCTGCAACGAATCTCATCGACAAAACTGTCCTCTACGTTTTGATACTGTACAGCTCTCCCTATCCATCACATCTACCCCCCCCTTCCCCAAGGAGAGGGTGTGGAGCAGGGCTCCTTGTAGTCTCATATAACACACACAGGAGAAAAGCAGCTGTGCGCAGGAAAAACTGAACCAACACGGGACGTTCTCGGCACCGTCAGAACCAATAATCAGCATGAAGAACCACCGGTGCAACGACGTCATACTAGACACCGATGCACATCCCCCCGCGAGTCAAACGACCATCTCTCGCGATTGCCACAGATTCGGCATGTCAAAAAAAAAAACACCAGGGCATAGACATCCGTCTAGAGACAGATCTACATCTGCCGATCTGCAGAGTCAACAAAAGGATTTCTTGAGTTCACCCCTTCCTTCAATCATCGTCATCATCCAGCGTCTCTATCCTCTGCCGCCTCCTGGCAAGGACCGCTCGGAATGTTTCTTGCTCTGCTCGCAGCTGCTCCCTGAATTTTGATTTGCTGTAAAAGTGCTCTGCGTCTGCGTCGCCAGCAGCCAAGGCGTCCTCGATCTTGCTTGTTCCCGCCTTCATTATTCACGAATTCCAATAAAGCAACAAGTTAGAAAACTTAGAACAAAGTTGCTTGCAGACATGCAGTGTAAAATTAAAAAAAAAAAAAAA